CACAGGGGCACAGTGCACTGCTGCGGCTGCAGGATGGGGAACTGCGCCTCTTGGAGCTGATGAAGAAGTGGATGTCACAGCGGGCCAAGAGTGACCGGGAGTATGCAGGGATGCTGCACCACATGTTCTCCCAGCTGGGAAAGCAGGAAGGCGCTTGGCAGCCCCATGGCGACCGTGGTGGTCAGATCGAGAAGGTAGGGATGCCCCAGAGTAGGACTGTGCCCTGCAGAGCCCAGTGAGCTGCTGGAAGATGCCATCTCCGCCCATCCCTGATTCCCTTTCGTGCAGTCCTGGTCGGTGCTGGTGAGCCGGACAGAGATGCTGAGCCAGACCCTGCGGCGCCACGCGGAAGAACTGGCAGCGGGGCCGCTGGTCAAGCTGAGCCTGCTCATCCACGACAAGCAGCAGCTGCGCAAGGCCTTCAGCGAGCAGTGGCAACAGCTCAGCCAGGAGTATAGCCGGGTATGTTGGAGCCAGCAGGGGAACAAGAGAATGTGCTGGACCCACTCCCTGACTTTGTCCCTCTCCAGACGACGCAGCAAGAGATGGAGAAGCTGAAGGCACAGTACCGCAGCCTGGCACGTGACAGCGCCCAGGCCAAGCGCAAGTACCAGGAGGCCAGCAAAGGTGCCAGCCTGGCCCCTGTCCCCTGCATAACCTTCCAGCTTCCCACAAGGGGCAAGGATGGCTGGAGCACCCCACACTCTGTGGAAACTACAGCTCAGCCTGGAGTGGGTGGGGGTTCTGGGGATGGGTAGCATAGAGGAGAACCCAGCCTGGCCCCCAAGAAGCCAGGCAGAAGTCTGGGGGCCTTGGGACACCACGCTGTGGGTCAGGAGCATCCCTGTGTCACAGTGTAACCACCCCAGGCTTGGTCCCCCTGCCTGCCTTGGGACCCTCTCCCAGCCCTTACCCTCTGACCCCTGCCCCTGTGCTGGGTCAGGTGATGTGCTGGCGGTTGGGGTTTTCTACAGCCTCTCTCCACAGACAAGGAGCGGGACAAGGCAAAGGAGAAGTATGTGCGCAGCCTCTGGAAGCTCCATGCCCTGCACAACCAGTACGTTCTGGCTGTGCAGGCAGCTGCATTGCACCACCAGCACCACTACCAGCGCGTGCTGCCCAGTCTGCATCAGTCCCTCTACAGTCTGCAGCAGGAGATGGTCCTCGTCCTGTAAGAGCCCTGCCTGTCCCACTGCCCACCCCATGCCCCACTGCCCATCCTGTGCCCTGCTGCCAGCCCCTGGGCACCCCCATGGCCCCACAGAACCAGCAGTGCTCCCACAGAAAGGAGATCCTCAGGGAGTACTGCAGCATCAGCAGCCTGGTACAGGAGGATATGTTGGCCATGCACCAGGAGATTGCCAGTGCCATTCAGGCCATCGACCCTGCCACTGAGTACAGCAGCTTCATCCAGAGCCACCAGTATGGCTCCACACAGCCACAGTCCCTCTGCTGGGTACGGCCCTGCTGCCGTTGGGTGGCAGAGCCGGCATGGGGTAAGTGGAGGCAGAGCTGTGCTGGGTGCCCACAGGTACGAATCTGAAGTGCCACCAGCTGTGTCCTTTGATGAGAGTCTGCTGGAGGACACAGAAAACCTGCTGCCAGGGGAGCTGCAGCTGAATGAGCTGACCCTTGAAAGTGTCCAGCACTGGTGAGTGAGACTAGCTATGGGCAGGGGCAGGTGAGGGGCAGGAGCTAATTCCCCTGCTACCACACGTCTCTTGCAGCCTGACATCAGTTGAGGAGGAGTTGGTGGCTGCCACAGAGGCCGTGAGCATCAAGGAGCAGCAGACGCGGGAGCTGAAGGCAGAGATCCGTGATGAGGAGCAGGGCCGGAGCCCCGGGGAGCGGTGAGGTGCAGCAGAGGGGGGGAAGGGGTCAGGGCAGCAGGTGCTGACTGCCCCTTCCCCTCCCCAGGGTGTACTTGTTGGGCAGACGGCAGGGGCTGCATGAGGCACGGCAGCAACTCGAGGGCTGCCTCTGTGCCCAGGCCAAGCTGCAGGTGCAGCGGGATCTGCTGGCCAGGAAGCTGGCAGAGCTGGGTGTCAGGGACGCCCTGCCTGCCCTGCCTCTGCCAGAGGATCGGCAGTCCATCTCCTCCACAGTGAGTCAGTCTTGCCCCCTGTGCTCTGGAAGCTGCATGGATGGGGTGCACAGCTGATGCACAGCCCGTTCCTCCTTCCAGGAGCAGGAGCGGAGCGGGGCCAGTGCACTGGAGACTCTAAAGAACCACATCACAGGCATCTTCAGCCCAAAGTACTCGGTGAGCCCCTGGGCACCTCCAGCCACCCTGCTCTCCACCCAGCTGTCTTGCTGAGCCTGTCCTTTCCTTTCTGGCCACAGAGCCTCCCTTGCTTCAGCACCTCCAGATTCTGTTCCCACCTGCCCCAGGCACAGCTTCCAGACACTGCTGCTGCCGCACCTCTGGCACAACTCAGTAGTGTGCATGTCTGGGCTCATCTTGTCTCCTTCCAGCTGCCACCCCCCGTGCCCCTAATCCCAGACGTGCAGAAGCCGCTGTGCCAGCAGGCCTGGTACCATGGGGCCATCCCACGTTCAGAGGTTCAGGAGCTGCTGACCTGCAGTGGGGACTTCCTGGTGCGGGAAAGCCAGGGCAAGCAGGAGTACGTGCTCAGCGTGCTGTGGGATGGGCAGCCCCGGCACTTCATCATCCAGGCTGCCAATGTCAGTGACCACAAGCTGGGGGATGGCTGGGGTGGCCTTGCATGGGCAAGCACAGGTTCCTCACAACCTCTTGGCCTCCCTTCCTGCAGAACATGTTTCGGCTGGAGGGTGATAGCTTCCCCACCATTCCACTGCTCATCCAGCACCTCCTGCAGAGCCAGCAGCCCATCACACGCAAGAGTGGCATTGTCCTTGCCAGGGCTGTGCCCAAGGTGATACAGGCAGTGGAGAGGGGCAGAGTGCAGGGGCAGCTCTGCCCAGCTCTTCCTCCTGTCCATGACTGGGCTGAGAGCCACAGACATACTTCTCCAGCTAGACAGAGGGACTTGGACCTGGGGCTCTGCCAGAGAGGGGGTTGCAGGGGTATGTGGGCCAGGGGCAGCTCACTGGTGTCTGTTTGCTGCAGGACAAATGGGTGCTCAACCACGAGGATGTGCTGCTGGGGGAACGCATTGGTCGGGTGAGATGGGTGCTGTGGGGTCTGTAGGAGGGCAGGGCTGTCCTCACAGGGTCTACAGGAGGACAAGGGTTGCCTTGGGCCACATGGTGAGCTGAGCCTGGTGCACCTGTGTCTCGGAAGGGTAACTTTGGGGAGGTGTTCAGCGGACGCCTGCGCACTGACAACACCCCTGTAGCTGTGAAATCCTGCCGGGAAACCCTTCCACCTGAGCTCAAGGCCAAGTTCCTGCAGGAAGCCAGGTCCGTGTGGCCGTCGGGCTTCTGTCACATTTGTCCATTCTTGCAGCTGTTTGACCCTTCTGGGGCTGCAGGACCCTCGTGCTGAAGGCTGTGTCCCTGGGCTGGCTGGGCAGAGTGCCCTGGGGATGGCAATGGGTGGCTTGTGCCCAGGGCAGCTGGGCCCCCCTACACTCACAGTGTAATCTAATCCTTGTCCCCACAGGATTCTCAAGCAGTATAGGCACCCGAACATTGTGCGGCTCATTGGCGTCTGCACGCAGAAGCAGCCCATTTACATCGTGATGGAGCTGGTGCAGGGTGAGCAGCCCCATCGCCGCGGTCCCCACACACGCGAGGGTGAGCCTGTCAGGTGTGCCTGGGCACCCACTGCCTCTGCAATCTGGGCACAGGGGGGGACTTCCTGACCTTCCTGCGCACTGAGGGACCCCACCTCCGGGTGAAGGAGCTGGTCAAGATGACGGAGAATGCTGCCGCCGGCATGGAGTACTTGGAGAGCAAGCACTGCATCCACAGGTAGGCCCTGGCAGGACAGGGGGAGCCCTGGAATTCTCACCGCCCCACGTGCCAGGTGGAGCCCCAGGGACAGCTGGGTACATAAGCTGATTGCTTGGGGCTGTCTCAGGGACCTGGCTGCTCGCAACTGCTTGGTGACAGAGAGGAACACCCTGAAGATCAGCGATTTTGGGATGTCACGGGAGGAGGAGGATGGCATCTATGCCTCCACAGGAGGGATGAAGCAAATCCCTGTCAAGTGGACGGCCCCTGAAGCACTCAATTATGGTACAGGATGGAGCTGGTCGTGGCCTAGCACCCCACAGCTTATTTGGGAGCCAGAAGTCTGGCACTATCCCACTCCCACTCACTTGGTCCTGAGGAGGGAGGCAGACACCCGGAGCACCTCAGCCCTCAGGAGCAGTGCTGCATCAGCTGGCACAGCTCAGGGCACAGCTGGGCAGTGGTGACATGGGTGTCCCCTGCCAACACCGTTTGTCCTGCCCCATGTCCCCAGGCCGATACAGCTCAGAGAGTGATGTCTGGAGCTTCGGGATCCTGCTGTGGGAAGCCTTCAGCCTGGGTGCTGTCCCCTATGCCAACCTCAGCAACCAGCAAACGCGAGAGGCAGTGGAACATGGTAGGGGTCACAGCTGGGGCTGGCTCCTGAGTGCCACCATGAGCTGTGGGTCCAGCACTGCAGAGCTGTGCCTGTGGGATGGGCCAGACAGGGAGTGAGGGGCCAGTAATCCATGTCCCCATCCCTGTTGCCCCAGGGATGCGGCTGGACCCTCCTGAGCAGTGCCCTGAGGAGGTGTACCAGCTGATGCATCGCTGCTGGGAGTATGACCCTTGCAAGCGGCCCAGCTTCAGCACCATCCACCAGGATCTTGTTGCCATCCGCAAGAGGCTCCGGTGACAGGGAGCACCAGGGGCCTTGGATCCATCCCATGGCAGTGCTTGGAGTCATCACAGAGTCCGGGCCGTGGCTACTGCAGGGTGGCTGTGCAGTGCTTGAGTGCCAAAGGCAGGGGTCCTACATGCCCCAGGGCGGGACATGGCACCCACAGCTCCTGCCCAGCTTCATCTTGTACAATAAATGCAGGAGCTCTGCAGCTGTGCATCTAGGAGCTGTGAGGGGACACAGGCTTGTACTGCACTGGGATGGGACACTGGGATGGGACACTGGGATGAGACACTGGGATGAGGCACTGGGATGGGACACTGGGATGGGACACTGGGATGAGACACTGGGATGGGACACTGGGATGGGACACTGGGATGGGACACTGGGATGAGGCACCAGGACTGGCATGGTGTACCAAGATGAAGTACCAGGACAGGGTACATGCAGGGAACTGAGACAGGGCAGTGGGACAGAGGGCTGGAACGGGACCCTGGGACAGGGCACCGGGATGGAGCACCCGGCTGGGGCACATCGGGATGGGGCACACTGGGAGAGGGTACTGGGATGGCCCCCGGCATCTCGACTCAGCTGCAGGGTTTGGGGATGGCTGCTCCCGTTCCCGGGGCTGTGCAGGTGTCCCGGCCCGGTCCCACAGCGGTGTCCCGGCCGGCCCTGTCCCACAGCGGTGTCCCGGCCGGTTCGGTGCCGCCTCCGCGGGGCCTGGCCCGGTCCCACAGCGGTGTCCCGGCCCGGTCCCACAGCGGTGTCCCGGCCGGTTCGGTCCCACAGCGGTGTCCCAGCCCGGTCCCACAGCGGTGTCCCGGCCCGGTCCCACAGCGGTGTCCCGGCCGGTTCGGTCCCACAGCGGTGT